GTATTATCATCCTCCCAGCTCCAAGAACAACTGCATATTAGGATCCCAAATCCCTCACCAGTTCAAAAAGTTTCAATTTCACATTACTCATCTGCTAAACGCCTGCCTTCTGCGGCACTAACCACTACTTTTTTGATCATGGACTGCTATACGAGACACTTGGCCTGCTGGTGGCAGGTGGAATGCACCTGTCCCAGATGGGGAAAAGGATTTTGGGGTAGGAGTTAGCAGGGCTCGTTGACAGAGCTTTAAACTAGATATGGAGGGGGAAGGGAAGAAAACTGGGCCTATTAGAAATAAGCCCAAGGGAAGCATGCCAGAGCTTGTAGGATGGTGTGCTAGTGAGGACTCTCACTCTGCCATTTAATTTGAGACAAGGGATAGACATTTAGAAGTCATGGAAACACCTGAGAAGGCCCTGATAGGAAATGAGCCCACACTCATAAAAAGGTGTTGGGATCAGTAGTGATCTGAAGTACATCTATACCAATGCATGCAGTATGAGCAACAAATAGGGGGAACTTGAAGCCATGATGCACCAGGAAAACTGTAACAGAAACATGGTGCGATACCTCACATTACTGGAGTGCCACAATTGATGGCTACAAGCTTTTCAGGAGGGACAGACAGGGAAGGAGAGGCAGTGGAGTGGCCCTGTATGTTAGGGAATGCTGTGAGGTTCCTGCACTGTATTGATAACTTCCTGCTCCAAGTGGTTGAAGAACCAATGAGGAAAGGTGTGATGCTGGACCTTAACAAAGAAGGTCTGGTCACAGATGTTAAGGTTGGAGGCAGTCTTGGCTGTAGTGACCATGATACGTTAGAGTTTAGTATTGTTAGGGAAAACAGCAAATAGGCTGGGGGTCCACAAGAAATTGGGAGGGGACACAGCTGACCCCAGCTGACCAAAGGGATATCCTGTACCACATGTCATGCTCACCTAGAGGAAAAGAAAGAAGGAAGGGGAGGGCACTTGGAGTTACAGAGTCTGTCTTCACAAGGAAGCATAACATACAATGAAAGCCTGCTTTCCCAGAAGTGGCTGAACACTTGCCTGCAGGTGGGCAGTAGCAAATTAATTTCATGCTTTGCTTTGCTTGCATGTACAGCTTTTGCTTTACCTATTAAACTGTCTTTATTTCAACCCGTGAGTTCTCTTCACTTTTATCCTTTCGCACCAGGGGGAGCGAGTGAGCTGTCTACCACGGTCAACCTGCAACATAGGAAAAACTGGACTTTGCAACTGGTAAAGATGCATGGGACCAGCGTGTTGGAGGGGGCGAGTGGAAATATGCCAGCTGACAAGGCACGTGCAAGGTAATGGGGAGCATTGACAAATAAAGGTAGAGTAGGCAGAGAGGCATATAAAAAGGGTTAGTCAACATGCTCACTGCTGCAGTCTGTCTTGCCTTTTTAAGTCCCTTCTTCACAGTCTCTGCATAACCTCCCTATCTCATCTGTGTATCTGCCAGCTAGGTGCCAGTTCCAGGTAGGAACTGCATGAGCGAGATTGGTGCCAGCTACCGGAATTAGGTGGTGGCTGTATGTGTCCCAGGGCTACTGGAGTAAGTGCAGGGTTACCAGGCACCAGGGTGGGAATTGTGTGTGTCTCAAAAATCAACTACTGTTGGGAAGACTGGCATGAGTGAGGCAGGTGCAGGTCTTGGTGCCAGAAGCTGGAGGAAAACAGCAGGTCACAGTCCACATACCTGGTGCTGGCTAATGGATGGCAATTGTCTGTGCATTCCCCAAACCAGGTGTGCGTGGAGCATGTGTTTGCTGCAAAACTTGAAGTTGGATGAGCCAGTTAGTACGAGGGCCTGGCTCAGGGCTGGAGTCTTAGGCAGGTGAAAGGTCTCTGTGCTTGCATCCAGAGGGACCGATGAGTATAGGATACCTCTGGGCCTTGCTAGCGAGGACTAATCTAGATTATCCAGCAACTAGGGGACTCATGGAACAGGTAAGAGGGCCAGGCGCTGGGCAGGGGTACTAGACAGACAGTGCCAGTACTTGAGCAATCTCCAAATAAGTGTGTGCTTGTGGGCATGAGAGCATTATGTATGTGTGCCAGCATAGTGACCTTCTGATTCTGCCAGATGAAGAGAAGGAACAAGTTGTGGCCTCCTGTGCTACTTCTACATGGGTCCTGTACATAGATGCAGTTGAAGGCATAGCTTGTCTATGTCAGTCTGTGACCAGCTGTGTCAGTCCTGTGTGTATTTGTATGTGTCTCTGGGACACAAGTTCAGCTTCACTGCCGGCTGAACCTGTAAGTAGGAAAGCAGCAACATCCCTCAGCCCAGGGTATACATATCACTGGTACCTAGGTACCTGAGGCTGGGCTCCAGTAGCTGGGCCAGAGCTGCTAGAGGGGGGAGCCACTCCTAATATCCTGTAGCATCCTGTGCGTTAGAAGAACAAAATGTTGGAAAGAGGCTGGATGGTCATAGTTATTTTGTAGTCCCATCAGTGGCTCATATTTGTTTTGTCTTGGCAGCTTACGTCACAAAATTTTTCCGGCATAAAACAATTGGTTCATCATGTGGAACCAGCTAGGGCTGTTAATGAGAATACTTCTTCCCATTTTCAGTGTCAGGGAGCAGCAAGAGCAAGGCTGCTCCAGAAGTAAGGAGGAACCAGGAGTACAGATTGGCAACAATGCAGAGGCTAGACAGCACCCCTACAGCTGAGGCACAGGCCCACAAAATCTAAACCAGGCAAGCAGAACCAGGTGGTGAGAGCAACAGCTCCCATCCAAAGCCAATCCAGGAAATCTAAACATCAGTTCAGAAATAAGGCTGGAGCCAGTCCCAGTTTAGGGAAGTACAGAATGCCACAGCCTGAGCTGAAACAGGATCTGTGGACCCATGGACAGGGAATGTGTCAGGGTTCCTGGTGAGGCTGTATTGGGCCATTAAGGCCCAATACTGCCCTTAGAGCTCTAACAACTGCACTCACAGACGACAGCAGGTTTAAACCTGAGTAAGTATTCTTTTCCCTATGATCAGCACATATACATCAGCTCGATGGCAGGGCTGAGCTATATTCTTGCACTGTATTTAGGCAGGAAGGGTAAGAAAGCACTGGGCTGGAGAGACATCACCTCTGTTGGTCTGTTTAGTCACCTCTTCTCCAGAATACAAAATGGACATACTACTGCACACTCCTGACCTGTACCAGCATTACTCCCACTTGTATTGATTTTTTTATCTAAAAATAAACCAAAACATTTTCTTGTAACTTCTAATCTCTTTTTTAAAAATAGCAGTCATAGAGCCCTCATAGCTAAGAGGCCATTATTACTAGTTCTTAGGCTATACCAGAAAAAGTAATTTCCACCAGGTTATACAGAGCATATTTTTCAAAGGAGAAAATCCAAATACTTCAAAGCCTACTTTCATAGTGCATACACTGTATCCTACTCTGACAGTTTTTCCCCTCACCTCAGGAGAAAACCCAGGAATATTTACCCCATAGCTCTTACCATGCAATTGCTGTAATCTGGTGTAAAGGCTATTTTCATCTCACACACTTTTTGGGTAATTCCACTTACCCGTGAAAACTAACAGAATCTGGAAGATGCTTTCTGTTTTGTCTGAGAGAAATGATGTAAGAAGGCAAAGAAAAAATATTCCTGGGTCACTGTCTCTCCTTCAGCTTTCTCTTGACCACTTGCAAGAACGTGCAAGAACTCTGCAAGTACAGAAAGATTAATTGCTCCCTTAACCTCAATCCTCCTTGAAAATAAAAATTAAAAAAAATGACCCAAAACACCCAAAACAAAAAAAACCCACACAAACAAAATACCCAACACAAGAGTTACTGTCTAGCAGAAACTCTCAGTCCCATTTGACAGCTATTGCTCACAACTTCTAAAACAAGTTTCGCAAGTTATGCAAAACTCTGTGGAACACCAAAGGTTATATGGAACAAATGCAATTACACATGAAATAAGGAGGAAAAGACATCAGAAGATAACCAGGAAGTAGGGGCAGTAATCATGTCACCGAAACTAGTCATGCTCTTGGCTGCTCAGCATCAGAGCTTAGATGCAATCTCTCCATGTCTGATGCCATGACACAGGTTGTACTATGCTTTCCATCTGGAAAGAGGAAAAAAACATGATCTACAGGTAACTTGCCCTTTATTTCAAAAAAAATGCTGTGTTCACACATGTCCTCATATGATACTCATTCTGTATATTTCAAAAAAATTGCTGTCTTCATACATGTCCTCATATGATATTCTGTATATTTGAAAAAAATTGCTGTGTTCACACATGTCCTCATATGACACTCATTCTGCACATAGAGACCTTCACTGCCCACATGAATAAGGTAATTCAGACTGTTTATCTCATCCTCTCTCACCAAGAGCTAAATGCATCATTTAAGCGCTATCAGAACTACTGAATCATGTTGGAGCAAGTCAGACCAAAAGATACAACCAGGAAAAGACACTGCTGAGATGCTGGTGAGCCTCAGCATCAGTTACATCCTGCTACATGGTGGCAGCCACAGGAAGCTCCTCTTCCTCAGACACATTTCTGCAACACAAGTACATCACTGCTAAAGGACTGTGTTTACCTGCTCAGGCAAATAACAATCTGTCAATATTACAGCTTGTTCAGAGATCCCTTAACATGGAGCCACATTGTCCAATATTGAATACATCCAGCAAAAGCTCCAGAGGTCAATTCTACCTTTATGTTTGTTGCTTTCCTCACAGCTCAAAGCATCCCAAAAGCACATGAAAATTTCAGTGTTGTTCTCTGTAACACTTAGATATGCCAGCTCCCCAGAGTTACATCTTTCTTGCATGCAACTCTTCATAAAAATGGTCTTCTGTATGAGGAGATATTTTGAGTAATGTCATAAATATGGAAATAATGTCTCTGTGATGGCTGCATCCAACAACGTATCACACGACAGTACTCCAGCAACTCATGAAAGCTTTTGAACTTTGCAGAGAAGGCCTCAGGTTTGAGAATGACCAAGATTCTAAAACATTCCGGCAAGTGCTGGAATAAAATACTGAAGTGAAACATCCTCGTGGAGCAAGATGAAGTGGACAATTCTTTTACTTACAATATCTGTAAAGAGAAAAAAAAAGAAAAAAACCAACACAAATTCAGTTTAAAGCAGGAAAAACACTTTAAAATTACATCTTCTATAGAATGCCACCGTAAGAATACAACGTTTTTACCACTTCTGACAGAAGGATGACTATACATATCATCCTGAAATTTATAAATCCTTGAGGGTGTATGAAGCATTACTGAAGAGTCTATGAAAGCTTGTATCAAAAATGAAATATGTAATGCATGGGCCTATAATGCTATACCCATGATTTAAATCTTGCTTGGGAAATTCTTAGCACTAAACCAGAACACACAGATATTCTCAGGAGGAGTACAGTTGTCAAAATAGGATATAAACCCCTGCATATGCTTCTGCTAGACAGAATATATTGCTTATATGATTAGAAACACTAGCTGCATAAAACATGTTTTGGTACCGAATGTAAGAAGGCATCCGAGGAACAAATCAAACAAAAAACAATGTGTCAGTAAATCCCAGTTTCTCTGCTAGAAACTAGGGACTTTGTTTTAAGACTTTAAAAAAATAGTACATTAAAATAATAACAAAAAATAATAACTTCAAAACAGAGACAATAAGAAAACACAATTAATCAGTCTGAGTATTCACCTTGATACTTATAAAGGTCCTGGCTTAATTTTTTTAATGTTTTTTTTTATTCTTCCCCAAATGCTTAAGGCCTGAAGCTTACTGCCTAAAGACAGAAATATTAAAAGTCCTCAGGTACAGTAAAAATAGTCATGTTTCAAACAGACAAATCAGAAGATATGCTGTTCTGCTGAGACTACAACCTCATTAAGTGGAGTTTGCAAGCAGAGATTCTGAACTTACTGCACAGTGCTTTTGTGGGATTGACCTGCTGTCCAGCAAGCAGCTGCTGCAGCTTCCTGATGTCTATGCGTGCCTCAGCCATGCTTTCCAGATCTCTGTCTTGAGCAGAACTTTGGCATCCATCCTCTGATGCTAAAAGCATAAGAACCAACACTTATAAATACATCAGAAGGAGTTTCAACACCTATAAGGACACATCTGATAACCACTGAACAGCTGGTCCTCAAACAATTTTCAGAAACAGCAGTGTAAGAAAGAAAAAGCCTAGTTTACCCATAAAATTGTCAGGGATACTGGAAGACATTCCTTCCAGAAACATGTAACAGCCATTATTCTTTTTTCTTTTTAAGGTTTCATTTAAAGACTTCGAAGTACTTGATGCTCTTCTGTAACAGCACTTACCTTCTGGCAGTGCTTACCAGCATCACACTTAAGTAATGCAGAACATGTCTAACTGGTCAGAGGTGTAGAGAATCTGTCTTATGAGGAGCGCCTGAGGGAACTGGGGTTGTGTAGTCTGGAGAAGAGGAGGCTCAGGGGAGACCTTACGGCTCTCTATAACTACCTGAAAGGACATTGCAGTGAGGTGGGTGTTGGTCTCTTCTTCCAAGCAATTGGACGAGAGGAAATGGGCTCAAGTTGCATAAGGGGAGGTTTAGATTGGACATTAGAAAAAATTTCTTTATTGAAAGAGTGGCCAAGCATTGGAACAGATTGCCCAGGGAAGCAGCGGAGGGGTTCAAAAAAACATGTAGATCTGGCACTGTGGGACATGGTTTAGTGGTCATGGTTGTGTTGGGTTGAAGGTGGACTTTAGATCCTAGAGGTCTTTTCCAACCTTAATGATTTTATTATTCTATAATGAGATCAGACAGACGCAAGAGGCAATGAACAGAGAAACTTACCCCAGGGTGGATTTCCCAAGTCTTTAAAATGTGTTGTTACAGACACTAAATCAGTTTCTATTTTCAAGTTCATTTCTCCACTCAAGTTTGCTTCAATCACCTAAAATAAAACCAAACTCAACTTCAGGCAAGCCACTTTTGCACTGCAGAATAACAGAAGAATAAAGTACAGCTTTGCTCAAACACAAGCTTCCAGAAGCACTTGGCGTGCCATCACAGGTCAACTGTACTTCCTGAACACGGTTTGAACATTGGAACGTTCAGTTCCAAAATGCATTTCTCCTTATTCCTGGTGAATTATCCTAGACGAACCTCCCGAAAATTATGAAAAGAAAGAAATTCAGAAGTACCTAAAGATTCTATATGACATACACGGAAACTGGGATGCACGAAAGGCTGACCTGCACCTGCAGTATTGCCTTCTGTCATAGATTGAGCCTGCTGCACCAGGAACAAGAGCCGCACAGTTGCTCGCTCACCCCTAAAGCCCCTCCTTTAGGTATGGGGAGGGAGAAAATTCAACAAAAAAGGCTCAAGGATTGAGATTAGGCAGGGAGGGTTTGTTCACCGCTTATGGTCATGGGCAAAAAACAGAGAGAATTGGGAAGAAAAACACAAATTTAATTTAATTTACCACCACCAGTTTAACCAAATCAACTAGAGTAGAGTAGGACAGTGAGAGAAAGTAAATACAACCGGATTTAAATACCACACTCACTCACTTCCCCGTCTTCTCAGCTATCTCCTCCCCACCATTGGCTCAGACAGGCAAAGGGTGGGGGCACAGTCTGGCTATTACTCATTGTTCATGGCAATCCTTCCTCCTCAGGATGAGGACTCCTCACATGTTGCCACATGGTGTCATCTCAAGAGAAACAATCCTCCTTTCTCCATGTGAGTCCTCCTCACCAGCATGGGACCCATCATAGGGTGCAGTGTCCTCTGCTCCAGCACAGGTCCTCCTCAAAGTTGCTGTTCGCTTCCAGTGTGCCCTCTGCTCCTGTGTGGTCTCTCTCTCCACCAGCATGGGGTCCTCCACGTGCCGCTAAATCCTGGACGTTTTCCACTACCAATCTCCTCAACCTGCCCTTCCACTCACCATGAGACTCCAGTCTCTGCTCCTCCTCCTTTCCTCACCTACTCTCCTCTCACTTCCCCCTCCTCAAAACAAACAACTCCCCAAAAGACAGGACAAAGAGACAAAGAGGCTGGCCCAACAGGTTTCCCCTCTTAAATGCATTGACCCCAGAGGCTCTGATTGGCCTGGCCTTGGCCAGAGGCGGGTACGACTTCTACCTGGACTGGGGAAGGCTCTGGAAGTTTCAAAGGGAGCTACGCCCAACAGCCCTCCTCCTACTGAAAAAAAAAACACAAACCCAACACAAACCACCATACACAAACCCATGACATTTTCCAAGACTTCCAAGACTTCAAACCAAACAACAGTAAATCCAAGCAGAACTCTGAATTGCTAGAAATCCTGGAAAAATGCTGCAAGCTTTCAAAATCCATCCCGAGAAAGTGTCCAACCAGAAGGAGACTGACTACATATATCTCACACAAAAAATCCTGTGCAGATCAGAGGATTCCTAAAGCACATATGAGCACTTCATTTCTGTGATTACAAGAATTCTCAGTAATTTCAAAAGAGGTTCATATCACCACCAGAATGTCCTATAGAATGGGAGATGCCCACAGATGAATGTTCCAGAGTTGGCTGGAAACCCACCACGCCAGAGTCTAAAACACAAGCTGACATCCAAGAGCTATTAGTAGGATTTCCTTTAAATCCTGCCTCAAGTTAACTTAAAGTTCATTCACACACACTCGAGACTTGATTAATTTATTTAATAAACTAATTTATTTAACAAAATCACCTGGAAAATCTCCAGCTAGCTTCCTGAAGGAATTTTATTTCTTACCAGCTACAAAGAGTGGCTTGTAGCAATACAATGTCATGTTTTTCCAAGGATTCAGTAATTTCTGGGAAGGTCAGGACAAGCTCTTCAGTGTAAATGCTAGAAAACCACTATCATTCTCTTCAGCCCTTATACAGTCTTGAGGTACCTGTAGTTCAATGTCTGACCCATCCCACGATGTATAAGGGCACCAGTTTGGGCAACAGGGAAACATGTTATGTCCAAGATAAAATAAGGTCTATTAGGACACATGCCTGAAGTGTCTTAACTTACAATGGAATTGCTGAGATTCTTCATTCTCTCCACAACACTCTTCATTGTCTTCAGCACTGGTAAGTAAATACTGACCTAGAAAGACATAAGAACTACATTTGCAAAAATATTTCACGTGTGACCAAGATGCGATGCATTTATTTGTCCCTTTCATTCTATTTTATTTTAGACTCAGCTATATATTGAATGCAAGGAGCAGAACACTTAACTGAAATCAGCAAATGAC